AGATTATTATTATTATTATTTATTATTATTATTTTTAAAAAAAAGTAATGCAAGCTCAATGATGTACATAGTACGCAGGCATTGTAACCTTCTTCTTCTTCTTTTATTTTTTATTCTTACTATTTTTATTTCTATTATTCTTATTTAAATTTATTACTGTAATTTTATGAACTTTATAGTTTTCTCAGTTGTAAGTTGTAACTTATATATTTTTTAAGTTGTAACTTATTCTACTAAATAAAAATGTCAATATAATTTAAATTTAATATTTTTTTGCAAACATTTATTTATTTATTTATTTTTGGTTTAACCCATTATAATTTACTAAACGTATTTGTGCTTTGAAATACTACCTATGACAGCAGAAACAGTAGGCATTTCTAAATCTGTCCAAGAGAGGACAAAAGTTGGTGCGGCTATTAGAGAAGGGAAAGAGGACAGGAGTCCCATGACAGCAGCCTCTGCCTTGAGTTCATACTCAATTGTGAACTTACTTATGCACGAATTCTCGATTTTATCCATCACTTCAAAACCAACTTTATGGAGAGTGAATCCTAAATCAAGATAACCTAGCTCCTTCAATCACCTCCGCTTTTATAAGCTTCTCCTTGTAAGAAGAAAAGGTTGACTTCGATCAAAACACATACAAAATGTCCCAAAGGGTTTTAATTACATTTCTCTTCCTCCTCTTTCTTGTTTCTCTCCTTCTGTGTTTGGTACAAAAGTGAATCAAGTGATGATCATGGTGAGTACCTAAGAATCAGAAATGAGGGAAGCATTAAAACAGGGGCAGTGACATGCCCAAAGAAGCCCCGCTTCGTTCTAAATCCGATTCGATATGTGACCACCCCTAAAAACTATAGACCACACATCGAATAATATAAGAACGCGTGATGTGGGACTTATTAGACTCGGATTTGTAAAAACTTTGGAGCTTGAAAAAAGAATTTAATGAATTTTTTTGTCTACTCTTAAACTGACAAAGTGACAATGTTGTATAGTCCATTTCTTTAATTTATTGTTGTACTCTTCAAACAGCATGATAGACTCCAAAACCATGAGGCTGAGACTTTATATAAGCTTGACTAAATTAGAATTCATTTCTTTAATTTATTGGTGTACTCTTCAAACAACAGGGTGACATTGAAACTCACACACATCATCGATGCAGGATGGACTCCATTTTCACTTCAGTTCAATCTATTCACCGTGCGCGTGATTAATCTAGTTTAATTTTTATGTCAACAATTTAATTTATTTTAATTATTAATTATAACCAAACATATATACCTCAAAATACCATATGGATAGAGTGTTCCATCATCTTTGTGAATGAATTGGAACATTTGTGAGTATGTGACAAATGGAAATTAGCTAAATAATGTAATTGATGATGGGTGGGTAGATGGATTGAGTGTTCCATCATCTTTGTGAATGGATTGAATCATTTGTGAGCATGTGACAAATGTAAGTTAGCTAAATAACGTAATTAATTAAGTGCACATTGAATTTGACCAACAATACCAAATATATATATTGAACATACTACCCTTCCAAAATCTCTCTCCACCGTTCTGCCGCAGGATATTTTAATTTAATCAACAACTTTCCTTTGTGGAGAGACAAGACAATCTTCCATCCTTTTCTATTCCATTTCCTTCACGCCTTTCTATTTTGGGGAAGTCCGTTTCCTTCGTTATCCCTCCTTTTCCTTTTTCCATTTTCTGATTAACATTTTCTTTCCAACCGCCCACTTTTGCCTACCTAGTTTCTCTTTATTTCAAATTTGATTTTAAATGGTTTGAATGAAAAATCAATAGTTATGAAGCACTGTTATGTATACGATAGGATATGAAATAGATGGAGTGATGCTGTAAATCTTTAAAAATATAATACTGAGTATGACATCATATGATAATTTTTTTTTTAAAATGTAAAACACAAGATTTAATTTCACAACACATTAAACATCAATAAATTTAACACCTTAAACCATTTATTACAGAAAAAAAAAAAAAAGAATTATAGTCATTATCAATATAGTTGTTGAGAATAGTTGTAAAAAACAAACAAACAAACAATCGAAAAAGAAAATATTTATTTATTAATAAATAAAATTTTGACGTGGCTCTACGCTTTTTTTACAAATTGTGATTGATGGACCGTTACAAATTTGGCAACACAATTTCACAGAAACAAATATATATATATATTCAAAAGACCATTGAAGGAAAAAACTACTTAATTTAGAAGAAGAGTAAAAAAAACTCCTTTCTTTTTTCTTTTTCTATATCCGAAAGATCAAATGGTAAAATTTTATTTAGTGTTGTTTAAATTTCATTTGTTGATTCTTCATCGACTTATTTCTTATTTTATCTTGCATTTAATTGTATATGTGATTGATGGACCCAAAATTACAAATTTGACAACACAATTTCACAAGAATGTATGATATAAAGATTAATCAACATTGAATTTTTTTTTGAATCCTTTTGGAAGCTACGACGAGAATAGTGAAGTTCAAAGGGACCATCGACATAAGTGGTAAGAAAAAAAAAATATGGAAACCTGCAAGCTTCAGAGAAATTGGTGGACTCTAGTGTTGGTATTCACACCATATTATGTGAAAAAAGGATGTGCATGAAAAAGAAGAGAAAAGGAGAAAGAGAGGAACAAAAAGCTAGTCTATAAGAGTAAACAAGTTTTTTTTTTTTTTAATGCGAATATCAAATCTTAAATTTCATTAGTTGAATCTTAACCGAACTACGTACTTCTTATGTTATCTTGCATGTGATTGTACAAATAGATTTTTTGATGAATTTATTTTAAAATTAAAATCATTTTGTAACAGTATACACTATTTTGTTTAACGTAGGATTGTAACGTAATTATTGATAATTAATTTGGGATTGTGCCTATGTGTAATTAATCGTATATATTTTTTTAATATATATTAGTAATTTTTAAAATTTATTTAGACAGATTTAATTCTAATCATTTGTTGTTATATAAGAATTTAAAATTCCATTGAGTCCCATTATAAAAACGTTTAACTTATTCAAATTAAGCGTCAAATTAAATTAGCAAACAAACATTAGTTCCTAAATGTAGCACTTTTAATATATAAATTTGTTTTTAGAGATAAATTTGTTTTTAAATAAATTACGAAAATTGAAAGTTCATAGTATTTTATATGTATTTTCTTCATAGTTTCATAATGTCAAAACACAAAGACAAAATTAAAATTCCACTTTCTAAACCTCTATTAATTGCTGGATGAAATTTTAAGAGACTAGCTTTGTTTCATAGTGATTTTTTTTATGAATATATTAAAATTATTAATGACCAAAGCAAAAAATTATGTGCATAAATACAAAAAATTGTTATATATATATATATATATATATATATATATATCATTTATTTCTTAGAATAGATATGATGGTGTATTTTTAGTAAAAAGTCCATCACCCTTAGAATATAAGCATATATTTTAGAAATATGTTACATGTTGAAAATCATACTTTCACTTTCCTGTATATTTTATATTATTTTATTTGAAATATTTCCCCCTAGTCATATTTGATATTAGCGTCTTTTGTTTGGTATATACATACATACATATATATATATATATATATCATTTATTTCTTAGAATAGATATGATGGTGTATTTTTAGTAAAAAGTCCATCACCCTTAGAAATATAAGCATATATTTTAGAAATATGTTACATGTTGAAAATCATACTTTCACTTTCCTGTATATTTTATATTATTTTATTTGAAATATTTCCCCTCAGTCATATTTGATATTAGCATCTTTTGTTTGGTATATACATACATACATATATACATGTATTAACATCCATCATCTTCAATGTATTAACATTCATCATCTTTAATTTCTAAAAGATATGCTCCTTAGTATAATAGTACAAGATTAATTAGATTTAGTAGTTAGTAAAAAATGGGATTAATAGTAGTATTGTCTACATAAATAATATAGATTTTAAATACTACTTATTTATTGGTGGGCAATGGGTATATATATATATATATATATTAATTGATTTAATAATTAGTAAAAAATGGAATTAATAGTAGTATTGTGTACATAAATAGTATTGATTTTAAATACTACTTATTTATTGGTGAGCAATGGGTTGGCCGTGTAGCAACTTTGAATGGAAATACAATGCAAAACTTCAAAACTAAGATTCTCTGGCGCAAATTGAGAACCATCACATGGTTGCATCCACAAATCGATCGGTGTCAAAGGTCCCCTACTAGGGGCATGGCTTATTTCATCTATTCAACCAATAATATTCATATCAAGCCAAATTTGTCTCTGTAATGTGGTCCATGCCATTGGAATTATTTGATAGACATTGATGATCCTAGTACTCTCAAGTCATGACAATTTGTAACTAATTTGACCTCAAATTCAAAACGTGCATAACAAAAATATTTCATACATCATCCAGTTCTTTGAGTGCATCCATCTCAATCCAACGGTGAAAGAAAAATTATAATTCTCTTATAGTAAATTAATTTTATGATTTATTGATAATCAACATGTCTCGGTAAAAAAATATGGACAGGAATGGAGCATTTTCAAAATGAGCCTAATTAGATACCTTTTTCTTAGAGATTTGTCAATATTTTATAAACTTTTTTTTATTTAATAATTTCATTTACCTTCCGTTTGTGTAACATATTTCCCATGTAACAAATTATCTAGCCATTAGGGCCAAAATGATATAAAGACCATTTGGACTACTCAACACGCAGGCTTCTCAATGCATTTTTAATGTCTAAAATATCATATTTAGTCTTATGTGAATAACGGTAAAATAACCACCGTGGACATAATTAGTGAGATTATGAAACCGTCTATATAAAATATTGACAAACCTCTTAAAAGGAAGTAGAATTTACTCTTATTAATAATTGATCTTTTTTAATAAAAAAATCAAACCTGTTAAGATTGTGGAAGCAGACAAAGAAGCAGCACTCTGGTATACAGTAGACCAGCCTCTTTACATATAGTAGTATCATTTACATAGCATTGCAGTGATATATAGTGTTAGATGGAGAGTACGTTGAAGGAGAGGAGAGATGGTGCGTCTTCGCTTGACATGTACCCAAAGCACACCGTCGCCGGTGGCGTTGGGGACGTTTACGGTGTGGATCGTGCCACCGAGGACCAGCTTGTCACCCCCTGGACTGTCTCTGTTGCAAGGTAACCCACCTACGTCTTTCAATTTCTCACATATCATGACCATCTACTTTTTATATACCGGAGAATTTATTCAATTTGAAGTGTGATTATTTCAATTGTGTTGATTTCACATTCAAAAGCCTCTAATTAATTAATTTACCAGGTCATATCATCACTTCCATCTAATTTTGTGGTTGAATCTACTGCTGGAATTTTTTTTTTTTTTTTTTGTAAACTTTTTCCAATTTTCTTCTCTTCCAAAATCACGATGCTTACTGATCTGCCTTAGTTAATGCTCTCAAAATAAGAAAATTAGAGATATGTTGGAACTTGCTAATTATAGATTTGGACCTCTTGATTTGATGGGTGCAGTGGGTACACTTTGATGAGGAACCCAACCAATAACAAGGGGCTTGCATTTACCGAGAAAGAGAGGGATGCTCACTACTTGCGTGGTTTGCTACCTCCTGTGGTTATAACTCAACAGCTTCAGGTTACTTATTTAACATTATTATATCACTTCTGCCCTCTTTTATTTTTTCATTGAAGTTTCTGATTTTTCTTCAACTCTTTTCCTATTTTTTACTCATCAGGAGAAAAAATTGATGCACAATATTCGCCAATACCAAGTTCCACTGCAGAAGTACATGGCCCTTCAGGTATTATCTCATTAACCCATCACTCTTGTTGATTGGAGCATATAGACGGCACACTTGATGCTGCATAATTCAATTTAGATTCACATAGAATCCAAATTGAGTATGTTTATTTTTTCAATACCATTTGGAATAAGAATTTACTTTCATTTTAGCCGCCTCTTTTTTTTTTTGGAGATTATTTGTGTGTTGCTTTCTAAATTTTATTATCAATTTTCGAGTCAACTTCTCCTACTGACCTTCTTATAATTTTCTTTTTGTTCCTTTTTTCCTTTTTCCACTGAGGTGTTGGGGTGGGGAGGAAATTGGTTGATGCGTAGTGAACCCCTTTTTTTACTTAAGAATTGAATTTATGCGTTGGGAGTATAGGAAATTAACATAAAATGGACGATTTCATATAATGTAGCATTTGAAGAGCCACCAAATGAATGGATGAAGTGGGAGTAATTCTGCTCTAATTTTGTTTGTTCTTTCTAATCGTTGTGGTTCACAGGAGAGGAACGAGAGGCTGTTCTACAAACTTCTTATTGATAACGTTGAGGAGCTCCTCCCAGTTGTCTACATTCCAACCGTGGGTGAGGCTTGCCAGAAATATGGGTGCATTTTTAAGCGGCCTCAGGGTATCTACATAAGTTTGAAAGAGAAGTAAGACTGTTTGTTTCAGCTATACTAATATACTAGGATTACAAGTAATTTCATCTTAACATGGGAAGTGGCTGGCTTTTGCAGGGGAAAGATCCTTGAGGTTTTGAAAAACTGGCCTGAGAGGACCATTCAAGTCGTTGTGACAGACGGTGAGAGAATTTTGGGACTTGGGGATCTCGGATGCCAGATAATGTGCATTTTCTTTTGATTTTATTCTGTATGTATTTTAGATGTCGATTTCCCAGATTTATTATAAAATTAGAATTGCAGTCTCTTCATGAGACAATGTTTAAACTCTTATCAGGGGATGGGGATACCTGTTGGGAAATTGTCTTTGTATACAGCACTTGGAGGAGTTAGACCTTCAGCGGTATGCATCACAACAATAAAACTGCCATTTTTGCTTCTTGTTATATTATACCGTGTGTTATAGATAGATGCTCCCATAAGCACAATCCAATTTTTTTCCCCTTTTTAATCAAGGTCTCTAATTTTCTTATGCAGTGCCTGCCTGTAACTATTGATGTGGGGACGAACAATGAGAAGATGTTGAATGATGATTTTTACATTGGGCTCAGACAAAGGAGGGCAACTGGGAAGGTCAAAAGATTATTTTCTGAACTAAATTACAAGCAATTGAAGTTTAAAATTTAACTATAAATTATGTAATTCTGTTTAATGCTGAAGCAATACGGACTAATTTTTGTTCAGGAATATGCTGACCTTCTTCATGAGTTCATGACTGCTGTCAAGCAGAACTATGGTGAAAAAGTTCTCGTACAGGTTAGTCATTAATCCCAAACACCAACTATAATAAAGTTTCAGAGCTTGAACTTTGAACTTGTTTATGCAGTTCTAATGTTGGTAACATTTTTTTTTATTGATACTACAGTTTGAAGATTTTGCAAACCACAATGCTTTTGATCTACTGGCAAAATACAGCACTACTCACCTGGTCTTCAATGATGATATACGAGTATGTAGTGGCATGGTGGTGGATCAGGTCCTTGCCAGGGATCATACATTCTTGTCTAAATCTTTTTCTTCGTTTGTTCCAGGGAACAGCTGCTGTGGTTCTTGCAGGGCTTATTGCAGCGCTCAAGTTACTTGGCCGTACCTTGGCTGACCACACATTTTTGTTCCTAGGTGCTGGGGAAGTAAGACTATAATCTCTGCCTCATCTCCTTCTAATATTGCCACCCTGAGGAATAATTAAAAAAATAAAAAATAAAAAAATAACAAATTGGGTATTGTAAAATAGTAAGCAAAATAAATTTAACAGCCCTTAATTTAATCATTGGGCAGAGGGGGAAAACTGAAAAACCAACACACACTAAGTATATACTGTACTAAGAAGTACGGACACGGATACGACACGACACGGACATGGCGACACGGTAAATCCAAAAAAATTAGGACACGGACACGGCGAATAGTGTATATATATATATCAGTGTTTTTAAAAAAAAATTAATAATGCTGATATATATATATATATATATATATATCACTGATATGTTAGTATATATATATATCAGCATCTTTAGGACATGGACACGGCGAATTGTGGCATCTTTAGGTTAGTATATATATATATATCAGCATCTTTAGGGTAGTACAAAACAAAAAATAGAACATATCAGCATTAAAAAATTTTAAAAAATAAATAAATAACATATCAGCATTAAAAATAAAAAAAATAAAAAAAATTCCAGAGAAGTGTGTCCGAGCCGTGTCCGAGCTGTGTCCAAAAATTAAAAAAAATAAAAAAATTCCAGACACGTTTTTTGGCGTATCCGACACGTGTCCGTGTCCGACTCCGTGTCTGACACGTGTCGGACACGGATTCTTCGCCCATTTTGGAGTGTCCGTGCTTCTTAGATACTGTATGAGATATACATCAGAATTCACAAGGGAAAAAGAAAAACTGAAAACCATTCTTATGAATTACAAGTTTTTATTCATTCTTTACTTTCTATTTCATTTATTTATGTTCACCACCTTTGTTGTTGGGCATGTTTACACCTTTGTTGTTGGGCATGTTTACTTTCTATCTCTATCTTTTATTCTGCACTAAATATATATGTTAATACGGATAAATAAATCCCGATCCATATGGGATAAAGGCAAGGATGATGATGATGATGAGGCATAAATCAATAAGAGAAAAAGAGAGTACATAATTAAATTTATCTATCTTACCTGTTCCTCGGATTATGCAGGCTGGCACTGGTATAGCAGAGCTTATAGCTCTTGAGATGTCAAAACATGTATTAACTTGCTACCATTGCACGGTTGTCTCTGGTTACGTAAGTGCAATCTCTTTACTGATTAGTGATTAAATTCTACTAATTTGTTTTTACTTGTCTTCTATAGATAAAGGCTCCATTGGAAGAGAACCGTAAGAAGGCCCGCATAACTTAGTAAAACGGTCAACAATCTATGCCACATCAATAGCGATGGCCCACATAACTTGGTCAACAGTCAAAGTTACCACGGCATCAAACATACTTCGAACAGAAGAACGAAGATCTGAGTTGGGAGCAGGACTCGGGATTCAATGGGATCTGAGGAGGTTTTGGTTTGGTGGCTGAAGTCCGGGGTTCGCCGAGTCGACACTCGGCTTGACTTACAGAGAGAGAAATACCATTTTGACTCCTGAGCATCTGACTCCATCTTATTCAACATTGCTTTATAATTATTTAAGAAATTAATCTCTTTTAATTATTTTGTCAATGGACCCACATGTGATGTCATCAATGGCATCACCCTCCCTCACTTGGCCTATAAAAGGAAATGACCTAAGGCCAAGAAAAAGGGGGTAGACACAAGAGGGAGGAAAATTCCTCTCTCTCTCTCTCAAATGGGTTCTTTACACAACCCCTAAAAGATGGATCAAGGAGTCAATGGTGTTTTCCATATACACTGTCATCCCTCTCTCTCTCTCTTGTTCGCTTGGGCCTCCACCTCTGATTCCATCATGTTGCAAGATTTACCTCACCATTTGTTATTTTGTGATGATCTGGAACCCACCTGAAAATCAGGTACCTACATTTGGCGACTTCGCTGGGGAGGTATTCTCGTGTAAATCATGGGAAGAGTCCTTTGTGGATATGGAAGAGCCCAGAAGCCCTCCGTAGATTGCTATGTTGTGCTACAATTTTGCACTCACGGGCATGAAAAACTCCTCTACACACATATTGCTACTGTAACCCGGTGATATATTTCCCAACTCATTTGCTTACTTTTTTGCCTTACTTGCAAACCAACATGATTATCTATTTGCTCCCTGTTGATATGTTCCCCAAAGAATGACTTTATCAACTGATTTCTACATTCACTTATTTACTTGATGCACACACAGTCATTTATTTCACTTTGCCTTACTAATCGAGTACCACCTATATGTCAAAATTGTCTATATTTGCTGATTCTGCAGAAAAAAATCAATGACCCATTTTTCTGATGCACTTTGCAAACCCATTTTGCCCACCAACGCAACTGCCCAATCAGTAGGCTTCCATGTGTTCTACACCACTCATTTGTTCTTCTTATCTGCTTGAATGTGTGTGTGTGTATGTGTGTGTGTATATATATATATATATATATATATTTATTTATTGCTTTCTTCATTTTGCCAAGATATATTATCATCTTATCTTTACTTTTTCATAAAACAAATTCTTAACTGGATCCTACAACTTTTCTCTTGACAGTACAATAAAGCCTAAAAACTAAGGCAATAAAGCATCCAAAATATATATATATATATTTTGATACTACATCTTTGCACATTTACCGAGGCTATATATATCCATAATCAGACAGCTGTAGACTTTTTGCTCTTGGTTGCTACAATGTATACATGTATCTATATTTCCTCTACTAAAGTATTTTTGGAGCAATCCCATCAATGAGTATCTCCCTTATCATACATACATACATCTATTATGATGTTAGCTGTCAAATGCGTTTTTAGCCATCAGTCCCACTCTACTTATGGACAACAGTCTAAAGTTTGCCCCATGCAAATATCTTTATGTCTTGTTTTTCTCAAGCATTGTACCATACACACATATTACAGCTTGACATTTATACATATATATATTAAATCAAAAAAATCAATCGATCCGATTCATGCATTCTTACCTTGTGCAGCTATTCCAGGAAACTGTGTGTGTGTGTATATATATATATATCACTTTTTTACTTTCATTCACAGCACAAATACCTTATCACTACATATGTTAGAAAATCTCTTTTTTTACTTCCATTTAGAGCCACACAAATCTTATCTGCCCACATTTATATAGTATATATATATATATATATATATATATATATATATATATAATGCTAGCCGGCAAAACCCATTATCCTAATCTACAAATATCTTTATCCACAAGAACTATGTCACTTTTTTTATTACTAAACTAAAATTCACGCATTATTTTATAATTGTATATGTACAGCCATGCATATATATGCACACATGTATACATCGACCACACCACACATGTATACAGTGACCCTTCTCCATTTAATGGATCTCATTGAACTGTTACATTCTTTCACATTTCAAACTGCTCGATGACCAAGTGTTGCTAAACGACGAAACTCGTCAAATTTATGCAACCGTCTCGACGACGACACCCACTTGTCAATCTCATGCAAACGACTGTCAACGATGACCACGCTAGTTTATACACGGCACGCTAAGAACACAGGTTTATTTATATAATTTATTGCATATAGAGAGAGAAAGAGGAGAGAGTTGTGATGTACTATACTCAGATGGCTCTACAATTCATTTCTAAACTCACGCATATGGACGAGTTTGGAGTCTCTTACTCTTGACTTTCTTCTTTCAAATTAGGGTTCTTTGACTGGTTCGCTCAAATTGCATTCCAATCTCAATAAATTAACACAGGTCAAGATTGGAAGCTATAAATGGATAAATCCGAATCCAATTCCTTTAGTAACAGTCCTATAAGCTGTTGCCTATTCGAATTTCATACAGACACCGTTGAAGACCCTGTTGGAGTATTCCACATTTCTTCTTCGGAACCCTCCTTCAATGTCAGCTGCTTTGCCAGAGGAGTTCGATGATTGCGGTGGTCCTGACACCGCCGCCGCCGCCACAACCACCTGTGGTAATCAGGAGTTTACTATTACAATCGTTGATGCTGGTGGGGTGTCTGCGGAAGCCGAAATGGGGTTGGTGGTGGGGCAATTGAGGGTGTTTCTATGAAGGCTTGTGATTCAGGGATTGTAAGCACACAAGGAGAGTTTGGGAGTTGTGATGGTGTAAATAATAGTGATGTTAACAGGGACAATTCTTCTTGGAGATACGGTGTTCAGCCTTTTTCTTTGCCCCATGGATAGAGCAAATTCCGCCTTTTTCTTTGCTGCTCTTGGTTGTCTTCATCAGACAACATTTACTGGAGGTATTTCTTTTTCTTTTCTTTTCTTTTCTATCATTTGATTGAAATTGTCTCTTGTTCTTGTACTTCAAATGTTTTGTCAAGACTTTGTTATGATGTTTCTGAGTAGTTTTGAAAATATACATGGATTTATATGATTATAAGTGCCTTCTTGGTCAAGACAATGATGAGGCAGTCATTTACAACCTAAGTTTCCACCTTCGAAGAAAAAAATGTACAATTAAAATTCTATTTTTTTTTTCCCAAGCTATTAACAAGGGTTTCGTTGGAAGCACTTTCAGGTTTTTTTGTTGCAATTTGGATTGCTTCAGTCTTGTTCAAATCAAATGATATTTTACGAAAGCAAATAGCTCTGAAGGTACTGTGACACTTTTTTTATCTGTTGATTACTATTCATTTATATAGAAGCAAATTTATTATTTGTATTATTGATTTGTAATTAAGCATAACAAGTGGTGGTTTGTGCAGGGGGAGAGGAAAATCCCTGTTCTCATTGGTATCACTGTAATATTCATTCTCCATGTGGTTTGTGTCTCTTGGTGGTATCGCAAGGATGACCTTCTATACTCATTGGTCGTGCTTCCTCCAAAAGAAGTCCCTTCGTTTCGGCATGCTATATTTGTCATCATGGTCAATGGTAAGTTCATGTTGAATGGCAAAAACTGGAATTCAGTCTTAGTTTGCTATGTGTCAAACAAAGGTGTGTATTATGCTTTTGTAGCAATATGCTTGTAAGTGGCAATAAGATTCTCCAAGGACATCAGTTTCCTTGTCAAGATTGATTTGTTTGGTGACTATTCACTTTGCTATCATTTTTTTTTTTTTTTTCTTTTTCGGGTTTTGATAACTACAGATCAATCATGATTCTCAATCGAATGAGCTTTCTGGAAGTTTATTTTTGGTTAACTCTCTCAAAACAAATTTTTACAAAGATTAAATTTATCAAAAGACATGAGTCTTCTATATTGTTAGGTCAACATGACTCATGTTAGCAAGTTTCGTGGATCAAAACTAGAGTCTAGACTATGTACTTTTGTTCTGATTTCAAGTTTACTTGAAAATTCAGAAGTTACTTGGTATCATGGTAGTTACCTCTTGCTCATGGTGGAAGATGGAATTCAAGCTACATTCAAGGGGAAAACCATAGTCTTCTACGCCAAGGGAATAAAGGCAATTTGACATTCCAATGCACTAACCAATATTAGGGTCCATGCATTCATTCGTTAGGGTTTCTAATATTTCATGATTTGATTCAGAAAATCCTTTTTAATATGCCTGCAAAGTGTTTTGGAGACTTCCTAACTTGAAAATTTTCTAAGTATAAATTTAGAGGGTACTTTGATTGATAGAACAATCAATCGAAACTCTCTGGAGTTGTGGTCGATCAATTGATCAATCTATTTGATTCAGTTTCCTTTTTAAAATAAAACACTGAAAACCTTGCTCTCTTTATGCTTCTAGTTTTCCTACATATATACTACTTTAGGGGCAGATTACAGAGGCACCAGATACTTAGAGAGAGAACATATAATTTTTGAAAAGAAGAGTGCATTCATATTTTTCTTTACATTCATCAATTGCATTAGAAATTGGTGAGTATGTTGACATTATTGCTCTGGTGCTAATATGAGAAGTTCAGCACCGGTAACATTATTCAATCATTCGGAGATTGCTCTGTATGATTAGTTGGCTGAAAATCAGATCACTAATTAGAGAAATAGATTCATTTGGAGTGAAGTCTGTTGATGAGCAAATCATGTGTCTAAAGACTAACGGAGAATTTGGTATGATATATGTGTCAAGAGGTAATTAGGGGTTTTCTAGAGTTAGGGAAACTGGTAGCCTAATTGTAAATTTAAAGTACACTCTCAATCCCAACTATTTTGTTATGATGATATTTTTAGGATATAAATATAGGTATATGTAGGAGAATACTTGTTTCACCTTTCACCATTTTTAATGACCTCTTGATGTTTTTTTGACAAGAATTAAAGTTGTTTATGGAGATCAACTACGTACTCTATTTAGTAAAATTTGTCTAGTGTGACATGGATTTTAAATGGTAGACACATACGGCATATCCCATGCCCTATGTTACCTGGACTCGGATGTGTTTGTGGTTTGGGTAATTATCCAAGTGTTAGACATATCAAAATTTCAAATGGGATCCGATAACATTGCTAAATACTTATGTCATCTGATAATTCTATTTTATTTTATATAGTATAATAGTTTCTTTATGTTACATAGTGTCTAATATAGATATTTCACTATTTTTGAAGCAATAATATAATAAAAATGAATTATTAGATATATTTTTAAGTGCATGTGCAACCAAAGTTGTCGAACACGTCCCATACCTAGTCTCCGGGTATTATGTGTCTGACAGGTAATTCCGGGTATTATGTGTCTGACGGGTAACATGGCCTATGCCCAGCTCATGTTGACACTTTCATATATGGTTGTTAAAATCATAAAATGAACAATCTGGGTATAATAGGCAACATTCTTGACAAGTTACTCTCCTATTATTTATCAATATATTCCCCAATAATGGGACAACTATACCTGGAGACTGTTCATGGATCATTAGACATATTGGTGTTATCTTGACTGAATGCCAAATGTTTCAATTTCCACTGCTCTCCCACACGCCCCTCTTTCTATCTGGATTTTAAGATGATAGGTCTCTTAGACAAATTGGTGTTGTATTGACTGAATGCCAAATGTTTCAATTTCCACTCCTCTCCCACACGCCCCTCTTTCTATCTGGATCTTAAGATGATAGGTCTCTTAGACAAATTGGTGTTGTATTGACTGAATGCCAAATGTTGCAATTTCCACTCCTTTCCCACGCACCCCTCTTTCTATCTGGATTATAAGATGATAGGTCTTCTATTATTTCCATATTGATGCCTCAGCGCTTTCTTGAATTGTTCTTACAGTTTACTTAGTTTTTATTTTTTCATCTTTCTTCTAGATACAATGGTTAAACAGGTTGCGATGGTCTTCAAATGCAACCTTTTACTGTATTACAAGAATACCAGAGGCCGGAAGCAGGTAATTTGAATAATGAATTACCAAGTTTAAGGTTCTTTTGTCTGCAATTTTCTCCTTTTATCTGTTTTCAACTTACCAAATGCTAACACTTGTTGAGTACATGTTGCTGCTGTACCGTGCATTGTTGCCAATTCCTGTTTGGTGTCATTTCTTTTTAAACAAACAATACGGAAACCTCTTTTCATTGTTGACTACATGGTTGTATTTAACTTTCAAGCTCTTCTCAGTTATTGGGAAGGTATACCTTTAAACATTTCTATCTTCAGTGACATTCGAGCTTCTCTTCTTGATCCCTAAAATCACCTCAGACCATGATGGGCTTATTGTTGAACAGAATGATTGCATTTTGTTGTTGTTAATATAATGTATTCTGGATGTCCAGGTTCAATTCTTCTTTGATGCATTGAAGGCCTTTTCGCGAAAGGAGTTAAATTATGGGTCGGATGCCACTTCTGAACAGGTTGGTGGAATTTTCCTTTGAAGTGATTTTTTCTTTTTTCATCTTATCTGATGCTTTTCTTTTGGGGGGATGGGGGTTCTAGGGGTTCTTTGGATTGGAATGATGTACCCCCAAATAGTGGAACCGAACTCAGTCAGTCCTACTCCCCTACCTCCTCACCATGAACTTATTTTTGTGCGCGCCAGGTAGCATGGATACTTCAAAAATAAAGCTCTATTTTTATCATATCCATATCATATTCATATACTTCTGTGTAATCCTGGATATGCGTCCAATATAAAAGCCTCTTTTCTGAAGAAATTTGTTGTTCAATTAAAATTCCGATGACTAATGGCCTATATAGTATATGTATTATGTAAATGGACAACCTCAAACCTCCTACTTAATTTTATTGGTGAAATTATGGATGTTTGGCAAGGGGCATAAGGACTAGTGAGGATAAATTTTACAGATGAGTTCATTTAAGAGTAGAGGAAAGAACAAGAGTGGAAATTCAGGGAAAAAAAAGAAGAGTGGAATGATTAGAGGTGAAAATGGATCTCCTTGGTCTCACAAAAACCACAGCTCTGTTGGGGAGGTGAGTAGAGAACTTGGGAGATGTAGAGCATTATATACAATGTTTCATCAAGAGGTACAAGTATATTATGGAAAGGCGTGAGTGTGATATATTCCATTCCTTTCTTTCCACTTCATCTCCTAATAAAAGTAGATGGAATCTTTTTTTTTTTTTTTCAAGTAACGTGATGATTTGTAATTTTTTATATATGTGAAGTAACTGTACAATCAGGAAGATCCCTGCAAAATAATAGAAGCCCGACAGGCTAACAAAAAAATAGCTAGGGGTTGAAAGACCCTATACATAACTAACAACCTATATACAAACAAGGCACAAAAGTTAAACTGCTTTATATTGTCACAACTGTAAACTCAATAGTAAATACCACTTATCAGTAATAGACTGCATCATCCCATCAGGGTCAAAACCCGTCTAGTGGAGACCACTCTGCAGCAATGCTCTTGGCTACATGAGAATTCTTGAACTTAAGCGAGCATAATCTTCTGAATATCTCTCTGATTTAAATAACAACCTTTGGGCTGGGTTACTTGCACCACCGAAAGCTCTAGAGTTTCTTTCCCTCCATATGCTGTAAATTGAGGATGCCAATACCATTTTATTAACTATAATCCTGACATTTCCCTGCTCCCCACTGATAAGCTACCCAATCGAGAAGAGACTTCTAGCAAGGGGTTGATATATGATCGTCATACATGTTGGTAAAATTTCCAAATGATGAGGGAGAAGGGGCACTAAAAATAAAGGTAATCAAATGAGTTGCATACAAGTCTAGACCAGCATAATCCATAATTCTTTCTGGGGCATTAGGGTGCCAAAAGTCAAATCATATCCGAGTGTCTGATCCACTGCCAATTAGGTGTCTGATATGAGGTCTAGCCATGCTTCTTAGACTAATTTCTTCCATCCACGTGAGTTAAAGCATATGAAAGTTGTCAAAGTGTTTTCTTCTCCTCTCTCTTCTTCTTCATTTAAGATAAAAACCAAATGGCATATTTATCATTATCCAACCAATAAAATCAATTCTGCTGCAATTCACTATGCTAAGTACATGTAAATTCCTAAAAATAAACCAACTGAAGGAGAAGCTGAAAATGAACTCCCCTGGGACTTGCGTAATTAAAGACGACACTCTTATAGGATGGCCAGGAGAGCATGATCTGTGATGCTCCATTAGCATCCTCTACACTTAGTAGGTTTAATTTCAGATGCTTCATTGATTTTGGATTATATGATATATTCTTAGATTCTCTACATAATGGGTGATATTTGTTGCTTGCATAAGAAATCCATGGATTCTAAGTTCAAACTAATTAAACCATACTCCATTTTACAAGTAGAACTTTTTCTCGTCATCACAGCAAGTTCAATATATAGACGCATTATACATATATTTGTATATTTGCTGACTTAAATTTCAGTCACATTCAACGAAATCTGCTGCTTTGGGTAGCAACGCAGAAAGCACGAAAGGGTTAGAGAAAATTATGGCATGACCGCTTTCTACAACATATGTCTTCAATGGTGGCCACTTCCTTATCACAGCGAGTTGTTGCTCCGGTCTGATGACTTGATCATACCTCGTTCTGATGTATACATGCCGCACATCATTTGCACCATCTCCGTCAAATTGAGCTTCTAATATTGGCTTCAATGGTCCAGGCCGGTGAAGTAACATACTTAACACCTCCTCCTGATGGAAAACCAATCAGTATTATTCATGTTAACCACCAACTGCTCTAAACAGAGAACTAAAAGAGGCTACAAATGTATTTATCAGATTTGAACTCAGAATGCATAATAGTTTTCAAGTATTACTTTGGGAAGTAAAGGACCACGCGTATACATTGTTGTGGAATGGATGATCACGTGTACAAATTGCTGGGCTTGAGGGTATCCAACTCAAAATGTTAACCTGTTAGGTAGAGTGACCCTTTCTCCCAAGTCCTAGATTTCCTTGTTCAATAATCCCTCCCCCCCCCCCCCCCCCCCCCCCGGGGTCACCCGATAGATAGAATGTCACAAGTTTTGAATTGTTTTTTTGGCATTAGAAAGAAATTTGGGGTTACCTCTTGGGTCCTATATTGATTTGATGGCGGCTACCATTTGTGGTTGAAGGCTGATCAGGTCCCGAAACACATTTGTAGTTGATCAACTTCTTAAGTGTCCATGGAACTCCCTCTTTCATATAATTAGAAGGGGACAAAAGAAAAAAACAGAGTTAGGGAATTTCATAAAGCAATATTTGGATGCCATTTTGGGAGGTGGATTAAGAAGATAAAATTAGATTACAGATCTTAGTGCCATTTTGAGAATTGGACTAGCAGATAATATTGTTCTTATCATTTTAACACATAATGTAGTAAGTTTAAATTGATAGTAGTCAATAAACAAAATAAAAAATAATTTGTTTTATTTATTTATAGAAAAGGTCAAAAACAGTATTTAATAGGTAGTAGAAAATTTACATCCTTCCTGTCTTGGTCTGTCATAAATCCATGCTTTAACATTGTAGCTGCAACAGATACCGCAACCCCAATTTTCTTACCAAACTTGTGACTCGCGTCTGTCACGCTCAGACCTCCAGCATTGCGCCCTATCAATATCACCTGCAACATAAATATATGTAACCCATAAGTTCATAACCTACATAGCAAATTAATTTATGGTGTAGTAAAAAAAGTGATGGTAATTAATCGATGTGTTAGCAAGGGAAAGAAAGCAATGGCACCTTTTCATGATCACTCAGATTGGCCATGAAATTGATGAGAGGCTTGTTATACTCTTCAAAAGTATGAATTTCAAATGCGTCAGACCGATCCATACCGGCACGTTTGAGGTCGAGACATGTGACCTTGTAGCCATATGCCTCCAAGAGGGCCATGACTTTGTACCAATTCCACACCCCACCTTCATAACCATGCCCAAAGCCACAGTTTGTTCTAGTGCATGGTTATGAAGGTGGGGCGTGGAATTGGTACAAAGTCAAGGCCCTCTTGGAGGCATATGGCTACAAGGTCACATGTCTGGACCTCAAAAGTGCCGGTATGGATCGGTCCGACGCATGTGAAATTCATACTTTTGAAGAGTATAGCAAGCCTCTCATCAATTTCATGGCCAATCTGAGTGATCATGAAAAGGTGTCATTGCTTTCTTTCCCTTGCTAACACATCGATTAATTACCATCACTTTTTTTACTACACCATACCATAAATTAATTTGCTATGTAGGTTATGAACTTATGGGTTACATATATTTATGTTGCAGGTGATATTGATAGGCTGGAGGTCTGAGCGTGACAGACGCGAGTCACAAGTTTGGTAAGAAAATTGGGGTTGCAGCTACAATGTTAAAGCATGGATTCATGACAGACCAAAGACAGGAAGGATGTAAATTTTCTACTCCCTATTACATACCTTCTTCTATAAATAAATAAAAAAATTTATTTTCTATTTTGTTTATTGACTACTATTAATTTAAACTTACTACATTATGTGTTAAAGTGATAGGAACAATATTATCTGCTAGTCCAATTCTCAAAATGGCACTAAGATCTGTAATCTAATTTTATCTTCTTAATCCACCTCCCAAAATGGCATCCAAATATTGCTTTCTTTTGTCCCCTTCTAATTATATGAAAGAGGGAGTTCCATGGACACTTAAGAAGTTGATCAACTACAAATGTGTTTCGGGACCTGATTAGCTTTCATTTCTTTCTAATGCCCAAACAACAATTCAAAACTTGTGACGTTCTATCTATCGGGTGAGGCGCGCTGCGCCCGGGGTGGTCGGGGTGGGGGTTCTCAGACCGATTATTGAACAAAGAAATCTAAACTTGGGGGCAAGGGTCACTCTACCTAACAGGTTAATATTTTGAGTTGGATACCCTCAAGCCCAACAGTTTGTACACGTGATCATCCATTCCACAACAATGTATACGCATGGTCCTTTATTACCCGAAGTAATACTTGAAAACTATTATGCGTTCTGAGTTCAAATTTTATAATAAATAATCTGATAAATACATTTATAGCCTCTTTTAGTTCTCTGTTTAGAGCAGTTGGTGGTTAACATGAATAATACCGATTGGTTTTCCATCAGGAGGAGGTGTTAAGTATGTTACTTCACCGGCCTGGACCATTGAAGCCAATATTTAGAAGCTCAATTTGATGAAGATGGTGCAATGATGTGCGGCGTGTATACATCAGAACGAGGTATGATCAAGTCATCAGACCGGAGCAACAACTCGCTATGATAAGGAAGTGGCCACCATTGAAGACATATGTTGTAGAAAGTGGTCACGCCATAATTTTCTTGAACCCTTTCGTGCTTTCTGCGTTGCTAGCCAAAGCTGCAAATTTCGTTGAATGTGACTGAAATTTAAGTCAGCAAATATATAAATATATGTATAATGCGTCTATATATAGAACTTCTTGTGATGACGAGAAAAAGTTCTACTTGTAAAATGGAGTATGGTTTAATTAGTTTGAACTATTTGGCCGTAGTAAAACATATGAACTACTCTTATTAGTTTGAACTTAGAATCCGTGGATTTCTTATGCAAGCAACAAATATCACCCATTATGTTTGCTTATTAAACTACTCTTATTAGTTTGCTTATTTATTTGTATGTTTGCTATTGTCTTGGTTTACATCAACGGCTGAACAGTTCAAGACATCATGTTCACTGGTTAGCCAGTAAATCCGATAGTAATACACTAGGGAAGGTTCAAGGCCAAAAGCTACCTATCCCGATGCAATAACTTTCCAATAGTACTCTCTCTAGTGTCTGTATCTTCTTCATTTGCATTTTATGCAAATTTCCATTCATGTGGTGGATTGTTAGAAACGGGGGCATTAAAAACATAAATTTTGGATGAGAGCGTGTTTCTCTCCGCAAGGAGATGAACGTGGTATATGTACTTTTTCAAATCCGTTTCCGGGTGAATGAGAAATTAGCTCCAAAGTGTGATATTTTGATAAGCCTAAATGTGTATGCAAAATGTGGGAAGTGTTTGTCCCACATAAAAAAAAAATGTTGAAACAAATTGAAATTTAAATAAGCCAAATTTGGGATTTGGGCTTGGGCTTAGGATTAGGCTTGGGCTTAATTATAAAATCCGATTATTCTTTTTACTAAATGGAATTTTAGATTGGGCTT